GGAAACTGTGCTGAGCAGCTCAAGTAGGCAAGCCCCATGAAAAAGCCCTATTTTGGCGAAATAGGGCTTTACGACTGTGGATTGGTTTCCACCCTTGTTGATGTTGTCTCAAGCCCTAGCCAGCCCCACTAGGTCAGGAAACTGTGCTGAACAGCTCAAATAGGCAAGCCCCATAAAACAACCCTATTTTGGCGAAATAGGGTTTCACGACTGTGGATCAGTCGGTAAGGAAACGCCCTTCTCACTTAAGCACTCCCGACCCGCGCGCAACGTACACGCGCGCGCGCGCGCAACGTGGGAAAAGAGAAAAAGTTTCCAGAGAGTGGGGTCGAGCCTGAGCCTCGCGCTACGACGGTTGCGGTGTTTCCAACTAGGCCGCTCGCGCGTCGATTTGGCAATTTGGGTCCCTAGTTCCAAACCTTAAAACAAACCCTTTTGGGCAAAAATTGGGTTTCACGACGGTTGATTGGTTCGCCGCCGTTTTGGCCTGGTTTCCCAACCTACCAAGGCCTAGTAAGTAAGGATCATGAGCCGCACAGCTCTAAACGGCAAGCCCCCTGAAACGACCCTATTTCGGCGAAATAGGGCTTCACGACTGTGGATTGGTTTGCAACCTTCTTGCTGTTGTCTCAGGCCCTAGCCATCCCCACTAGGCATGGAAACTGCGCTGAACAGCTCAAATAGGCAAGCCCCATAAAACAACCCTATTTTGGCGAAATAGGGTTTCACGACTGTGGATTGGTTTGCAGCCTTATTGATGCTGTCTTAATCCCTAGCCAGCCCCACTAGGTCAGGAAACTGTGCTGAGCAGCTCAAGTAGGCAAGCCCCATGAAAAAGCCCTATTTCGGCGAAATAGGGCTTCACGACTGTGGTTGGTTTCCACCCTTGTTGATGTTGTCTCGGGCCCTAGCCAGCCCCACTAGGTATGGAAACTGTGCTGAGCAGCTCAAATAGGCAAGCCCCATGAAACGACCCTATCTCGGCGAAATTGGGTTTCACGACTGTGGATTGGTTTGCAGCCTTGTTGATGTTGTCTCGGGCCCTAGCCAGCCCTACTAGGCATGGAAACTGTACTGAGCAGCTCAAACAGGCAAGCCCCATGAAAAAGCCCTATTTTGGCGAAATAGGGTTTCACGACTGTGGATTGGTTTGCGGCCTTGTTGATGTTGTCTTAGGCATGGAAACTGTGCTGAACGGCTCAAGTAGGCAAGCCCCATGGAGCAACCCTATTTTTGCGAAATAGGGTTTCAGGACTGTGGATTGGTTTCCACCCTTGTTGATGTTGTCTCGGGCCCTAGCCAGCCCCACTAGGCATGGAAACTGTGCTGAACAGCTCAAACAGGCAAGCCCCATGAAACAACCCTATTTTTGCGAAATAGGGTTTCACGACTGTGGATTGGTTTGCAGCCTTGTTGATGTTGTCTCAGGCCCTAGCCAGCCCAAGTAGGTCAGGAAATCTGCGCCTTGCAGCTCAATTAAACATAGACCACCCCCCCCTCAAGAGAACACTTTTTTTCAAAGGCTTTGGAGCCACCCACCCGCTCACTCGTGCCAGCCAAGCACAAGCAAACCCCGATCAGCCACGTCCCTCCCAAGGGGTGCGTGTGCTGGTTGGGGGTCAAGAAGACAGATAGACAGACAGACAGACAGACAGAGAGACAGCCCACCCAGCCAGCCTGCCAGGAGCCAGGCAGGCAGGCAGGCAGACGAGGTGACTGAAATTATTCAAATTAAACGAGGCGAGGTGAATAATTTCAAAACATTGAATTAAGACGAGGTAGGAGGTGAACGAAATTAATGAAATTAGTTTAATTCACCCAGATACAATTAGTGGGCAGGGAAAAAGCTCCCAGTATTATGTTTGCCACTTGTGCTGGAGGCAACTGCAGAGTTGCACAGATTTGGTGTGTTCCGAGTTACAAGCGCCCAAAGAAACCCACCGGTCCAATTTCATAGCCGTCATGGTGTTGCCGTCGATGGTGAAGTTCGCTCAATGCCCCGAGTTTGCTCAATGCCCATCCAGCCCAACCGGTGAAGTCCTGAGTTCGCCTCCGCCTTCGCTTCGGAAGTAGTTCGGAGTTTGATCTCGTGGATCGACATGGACCTTCTCTCCTTAGGTTCATAGGCCCCAGATCCAAGAAGGGGCCCATGTGTTTTTAGGTGTTAATCTGTTGGGTCACGGTACATGGATCGCCCTCTTTAGTTCTCTCGCCAAGGCAACGAGCTCTTCTTGACGGTGCAAAGCATCGTTCTGCCCAGGCGGAACGGGGTGAACCCGGACTCCGTGGGACGCCCGGACTCCACTCGAGTCGAGATGTTTCGTTCCAGCAATCATGCACAGCTTGAGATACTAAAATGAAGGCTAAGACGCGGTGAAAAGCAAGCATGCCTCTGAAAGTCTGCTGTGATATGCAAGGGACAGAAGCTTTGCTTGAAGAGTGACAGAGAGTGTTTTGATCGGGAAAGATCAAACTTTGCATCAGAATAAGAAAAGCGGCTTTACAACTGCAGCAGAACCATGAATGGGAGGTTTACTTTTGCCATGCTACATGCGTGAAATGCATTGAAATGCCGAAGATTTGGAAACCGTTTGTGCTCAGCTGGCTGGACACAGGTATGGCTTCGAGGGTAGTCCCAAGGCCGTCACTGCGGGGCCGATGGGCACACATCAGCCACATCAGCCACATTTGTCACTTCAAATACACGTGATCTCTGAACTAACGTGATCTCTGTGTTTATCTAATTACAGTATATACTGTAATTCCGAAAAATATCGTATGTTCATCCACTCGTGTGATCTTTGTTGACCTAATGATACCTAATGTGTGTTTTTGTACGTTTTTGTTATGTGGAGTTGGCCAAGGAGACGGAGACGATTCTTAGAAATTGTTTCACAATAGTTTGCTCGGTCCGGAGGGGAAGGATTTCGGGGAATCTGGGTGGTGTTGCCCTCCAATCCAAAGATGTCCATGTGAAGTGATATGAAATGGATGAAAACAAAAGACACAGTGAGGCGCATGGGGAAAGCAGTGAGGCGCACCAGATGGAAGTGTGTGTGTGATGATTTTCTGGGAGAGTGGTCAGGTTTTCGCCTCCAAACCTGAGATAACTTGAGGTTGTTCGCCCTGGTTCCAAGAGAACGATGAAAAAGTCAGGTAGACATTGACCGGTCGTTGACGCTTCCAGTCATTGACCGGCCCAAGGGCCTGCTGATGGGTCAGATCCATCGAATGCCAGGGTGTGGTTCAGATGATGAAGGCATTCGCACCCCATGGCAGGGACGCCTGTGCCGCGGATGATCACGGGTGATGGTGAGATCAATCAAGGAAAAATGATGTAGGGAAGCAAGGCATCCTATTCATTGGACCATTACTGATTGGTAGACCCTTTCATTGGCATCATTAGCAATCATTAGCATCAACACACGAATCCTTCGTGTAACAGGCAAAGTTTTTTGTTGCACCCAGTCAACATCAGGAATCTGGAGTCTGTGAGATTCCCTGTAAAATGCCTAGTGATTCATTTGGTCAACTTGTTGTTCATCCCATAATTCTATGAACTGTGTTCACTGAGTGAGATGCAAAAGTGAGGACGCAAAGATGAGGACACTCAGCAGTTTCTTTCAGTAGCAGTGTGTCCCAAAAGCCCGGACTCTGCCGAGGGCAGACGCTTTGAAAGGAGACTGCCGGAGGAGTCCTACTACACTACACCACTTCCGCCCTCCCCAAGTCCTAGAGGATGCTGTGCTAGTGTGGATGGCTCTAAGAAATTGCCATAAAATCTGAGGTAGTTGGGAAGTTCGTGCGGTTCCTTTGACTGGAGGCCCTAATGCCTCACACCTGAGGCCACATGCCAGAAGTGGGCTGGAACAACGACCAGCTTAACAAACTCCTGCAGATGTGAAAAGACCGGCCTCGTGCGAAGCGAAGCACAGGAATGCAGTTTCTCGCCGTGACTTGTTGATCTGCAGGTTTGGAGTCCGGAGTATATAGGAAAGCTTGGCCAGGCAGGGGTGGTTAGAGGACTAAAAGAGCCCAGAAAGCATTCTGGTTGCAGGGAAAAGTAGTTGCGTAGCGTGGCATTGTATCTAATTGAGGGCACCTATGATTGCAGAAGTGTTGGATTAGAATGATTAGATGTGTCTTGAAACAGGGAGACCCGATAGAAAAAACTGGTCAAAGGGAAAGCAGATGAAAGGAGGGTGGAGCGTTTTCGCTCGTCAACATAACATGACTCGACAAGATGCTGATGCCGCGTTGATTGTGCCTCATTTGATCTCATTTGCATAGGAGACATGGCCGGCTCAAGTCGAAGAACAGAAGCATGTATTGGCAGCGTATAGGCCCCAAAAGGCTTTGCATGGCCAAAATTAAAACATGATATAGTTCGAGGGTGCCATCAAAGTTTCATGCATATCCCATCTCATTCTCTTCAGTTTGCGAGCACAAACGCCGGAACGATGGGCATCGAAAATTGCACATGTCTTGGAATCGATCTCTGCATCGCGCTATAGCCGCTGTTACGCCATGGGTGACAAACAGGTTTGGGTTTGGGATGCGGTTCAGGGCGACTGAGATGCACCGTATTTCGTTGGCGTCGACCTCATTTGGCGCCGCTTCACCTTGAGATCGCCCGAAAGAACCTGAGGAGTGTTGAAGCAGTCCTCCTACTCCGCATTTCCAGATTGGTGGCTGGTTTTGGAATGGATTTCCCTATGTGTGCCATGACCAAACATCACCAAAACCTGATGTCAAAGCTTTAGCAGTCAACATCTATATGTCAGTCTTCTCTCAAGGAGCCGTTTTGGGTGCGTCGCAGGGTTTGCGGGAGATGCGCACAAGGGTCGCGTAGCATGTGCAACAGGCCACTCGTTGACATGGATGGACAGGTGAATAATAGGTTGACAAACAGAGTGGAATAGATTGATAGCTAGGCTTTGGGGGGGTCCTATTGTTACCTGTGACAGTCGGTAATTACACCCAGGAAGACTAACATAGACCCTGAAATTCACTGGTTGAAAAAACTTTTCCAGGGGCCATTGTCAGGGTCTATGTTAGTTATCGGGAGTGTAAGCAATTATCACATAGTATTAACAAAAAACATGGTAAAGGCCTTTACTAACCATTATCATCCACTGTTACAGGGAATAGGATACACACAAGCTGGGCGACATAAATACTTCACACATCTTCACACCATGTCGCTTGAAACAAGAGCCTGTTTCGTTCCCGTTCCATGAGCACGACATTGCACTCTTTCAGGACTCTCTTTGTGTATCTGTGTGTTATCTCATCGTCCTGCATGAGTGCTGGAGGGTAAAGCGTATGGCATGAACCCCTCGCCTGTCGGTTCAAGACGACTCAGGGACTTGTAGTCATTTGCAGTCGTGCAGAAACAAGAAGCAACCACTTGGTGCATGCATATCCACACAAGAAAGATGATGGACTTGTATGGACTGTATAGGTTTCACATCTATGGATCACTCACAAAATCGGTGTCCGGCTTTCAAAACAATCTTCCAGCATGATGGAACACTTCCAGACGCACAAACCTCCTCGCTGGAAGAATGCCTCGAAGGATCAGACAAGCGGATTTGCTCGCTCCGCTTGAGGGACAGGCCATGAAGGAGTAAAGAATGTGCCGGGAAAGGCCAGAAACGAGTATGCTATGAGTATGCGCGTTTCTGGTCTTTACCAACACATGAGTATACTGTACTCGTTTCTGGCCGCCTTGACCAGAACATTCTGTCCGTGACGTCTTCGAGTATCGACAGCAGGAAATTGGAATCACCTTCAAGGATGATGCGAAAACATCTTTCGCAGTCCAGGGATCCGAAGAAAGCAGTCAACAATACAGAAGAATTGTTGGTCACTGATCACACAAGTTCAAGATGGCAAGCTCATTCTTTTGCTGAAAGAGGTCGGGAAAAGGGCAAGAACCAAGAACTGCTGGAGCAGCTTTGCAGCAAAAACCTCTTCAGCTTGGCTCAGATCTTGACAGGAAAATTTCAGATAGCTGGCAAGTCTATTTTGTACAAAATAGATTTGCGCACTAGCTGAATTTTCCCTGTTGTTGCAAGTCATGCATTGAAGACATTGGTGCACGTTCTAAAAAGAACGGATGTGCCAACGAACTGGCATGGGCGACTGGGGCATGTCATCTGCCAGCTATGAAAAGAGGGTTGCAGATGAAAAGAGCGTTGCCTTCATTCCGCAGATGGGAGGATCCACGGAAGAAGCGCGAAACTGTTACTGTTAATGAGTTCACTTTCTAGCCGTACTGTTGCTAAACCCTCATGTCCTTCCTTCTCTCGTCCTGCAGCGTTGGACATAGGAGGGAAAAGGTTCTAGAAGGGGAGTCAAACCATTTTGGTAGGGTTGGATATCTCCAGTGACCACAAGTCACTTTGGTTATGTCTGTGTGGCACCCAGTCGGATACTCCTTTCATGTAAAAGGTGGCTGGAGCCGGCGTCGCCGAAAGGGCTTGGGGGTTCTCGGAACATGGCGCTGAGCCCAGCAGATTTTGCACCAGCGGTGAACTGAATGTCTTTGACAGATCATTGAGGGCCCCGATCCCCCCGACACAAATTGACAAACGGTCACACCTTAAATATGGAAATATCCAAAACAAGATGTCTCAAACAATAAGACAACTGGTAGCAAGAAGCTACTAGGTGGCCATCGCTATTAGGTTGGAGGCCTTCACTAGTAACTAGGAAGCTACGAACGTAACAAGGGCATGCCCAAAACTAGACCCTTCAGCCCACGCCGAACGGCGTCACCAGCCCCAGACTTCGACACTTCGGTCGGACGTCAGACCCTTCGGCTCGTCACGGTCGTCGTCACCGAGGTGACTTCGTTCATCCAGGGGAGCTCCCGGTGGACCCGGACCTGGCGCGGCGGATCCAAGATCTCACCGGGCCCGAGGCGGGACCGCTCGAGCGGAGCGGAGCGTGGCAATAGGGATGAGAATAGGATTGGAACGGAGTGGAATAGGTATCCAGGTAGGAACCAATGGGGTGACCTGGTCTATTTTCGCTTGATTCAATTGTACACCTGTATGAACAAGTTGTTGACTGAAGCATTGATATGCATTGATTTCACAACGTCATTGCCATTATGACTTTGTGAATCGCGTGTGATTCGCTTGGAAAGCCGGTCCACATTGTCTCAATAAGAGGGTGTTCAAAAGCGCACCAGCGAAGCCATTGTTGCTATTTGTTGGTTGTTTTTCTTCCCTGACACATGAGTTGTGGAAAATGATCCCAGCCCAACGATCCCGTGGGCCACTCCAACCCGCCTATGACCCGTTGGAAGCGGTGTTTTCATGTCCAGGTGGCTCAGATCTCGAGGGCCACCGTCCTGGACCACAATGCCGGCATTGTGTTGATCGAACGCCACTGGCAGTTGAATGTTTTCAGGAGGGCCTAACGGCCAAAACGTGAAGGTTTGGGATCAGATCAGGCAAGAGCGTGTTGCATGTTGAATGTTGTTGTGGAGATCGCCAGTCAATTCAGGAGAATCAACTCCTCAGGAGGGGTTTTTGCAAATATTTGCAAATCATCTGGGCCGCAGGGACTGTCAATGCTCTTTTGGGATGGCAAGACTCTTGCGAAGAACTTTGGGCTTTGGACCTTGGTGCTTCACTTATGTTAACCACTTAGCTTATTCTCTGATGGTTTTGCAAAACAATAAAAAACAAAAAGGCAACTACAAATAAATGCAAAAAAATGACGAATCCATGCAAATGAAAAAGCAAAAGCAAAAGCAAATGAAAAAGCAAAAAGAACACATCATGAAAAAGCAAAAGCAAAAAAACAAAATAAAAAAAAAAACATGCACATGAAAAAGCAAAAGCAAAAAAAACAAATCCAAAAAGCAAAAACACAAATGAAAAGGTAAAAGCGAAAAAATGCGGAAAAAAAAGCAGAAAAAAATAAAAGGCGTCCCCGAAAGGCGCCAAAACGAAAAAGTCGAAGAAAAAAAATGTAAAAAAAGAAACACGATACAGCAAAAGGCAAACAAAAAAGCGAAAAATGCTCTGTAAAAAAAGGACGCCATGTGTTTTTTCATTTGTGTTGTGTTGTCTTTTTGTGTTTCTTGTTTTTGCTCGTTCATGTGTTGTTTGCTTGTTGGATTTGTTTTTTGCTTTTGCTTTTTCATTTGTATTTTTGGGGTATTCTGGATGTGTGTTTTTTGGTGTTTATTTTCATTTGCGTGTTTCTTTTTTGTATTTTGGATTTGTATGTTTTGTTTGTTCTTGTTCATTTGCTTTTTGTTTTTATTTTGTTTCTTTATGATTTTCATTCTCAGAGTTAGCCTGGGTCCGGCGAACACAATGTTCCATTCATCCAAACAGCCAGGCAGGCGGGTAGGACCGAGCTGACTTCAGTGCGCATTCTACCGGATCTTGCGGTGTGTTTCGCTCAAGCGTTGCAACCAAGGTCAAGATGGCCGGAAAGAGGAAGTGCCCAAGAGCCGCATCCTCCACTGGTTTGAGGCGACCGACACACATGAGTGTTTCAGCATGTTGCACCTCAGAAGATGATGTGGCTGGCTGTGTATTGAGGTGGACTCCCTGTATAAGATTACATGATCGTACATGATGAAATATGATGAAATCAGTGGATTTGGTCTCTTTGGGGGTCTCTCCTATTCAATAGGCACGATATGTTTGGAGTGTGGCTTGTCATGCTTGCGAAGGGGGGCGACAGAACATCAAGTCAGTCCCACGCAGACTTCAGACAATTGGTCAGGGTGAGAGGGGCTCAAGAAGTCACACCCTTCTCCCTGCATATTGCCCAAGCGAAACCCTAAAAAGAAACTCCGCTCTTTCATGCTCTTTCACAATTTTTCATCCACACAAAACCGCCTCCTGCCGATCCCGATCCATTGGCATGTCCATGCCAATCAGCATGCAGGGCGTGCTGATTCTACAAGCGATCAAGAACTCCAAAGTGCCAGTGGGTTGGATGACACGAGACTTCGAGACGGTGCTGACCCAGCAGATGGCACGGATGTCCTCCTTGTCCTACAGCTGCTAGCCTGTAAAAGTGTTGCATCATGCATGCTAGGTGCAAGGAGGAGGAGATTGAAGGAGGAGGACGATGGAGGATGGAGATCTAAGATCAAAAGAGCTCCTGGCCTTACTACTAGAAGCAAAGGACGCTACTAGGGGCTCCTGGCCTTACTACTAGGAGCACAAGTCCGTCGCTTCCTTAGGGTTCAACAGAGTCCGTTGCCCGCCTCCGAACGCCAAGATCTCGGATCGACCAGAGGCATCGGAGGGTCATCGATCTGTGTGTGCGAATCTGAGTTCGAGATGGTGCGCGAAAGTGAGCTGCCTCCCTTTTCTTCGGTCTTTTCAGATGTTTTAAAAAAACATTCTGGATCCAGTGCAGAGCATTTCAACACCCTGCGATGCGTCGTTTTTTGGCGTTGTCCCTTCTCATTACATCAATATTCTGTGGGTCTCTTCGGAAGCATCTCAGACAGGTAACGCCGGGTATTCCCTCGCACCCGAGGTATCAACTACGTGGAGCAACGACTCCTCAACGAGGCGGTGACTGGGTCCAAGTTCATTGACCTCCAGGGAGTTCAGCACAACTTCCGGCGCCGTGGCTTGCTGGAGAAGGAGAAGGAGATCCCTGAGTTTCTCCTCAATGCAGTCTGCATATTTCATATATTATCATATATCTCTGCCTTCTTTTGTGTGTGTACTGGAGTTCTTCTTACTTCCCATCATTCAAGTGCTTGTGTTTGGACTTGCAGATGGTGCAAGTCCTTCCCTTTAATTGAGTTTGGTAAGGATCTGTTCACCCGCGTCCCTATTATTGGGCTAAGAGTCTGGAGAGAAAGTCACTACCAATCCAAATATATGTGAGATGGTGGTAGGTCCCTGTGTGTGTGTGTTGCTGTTCCAGCAGTATGTGATGTGGGCCGTCCACCGTGGTCGTCGCACAGATGGGACTCGTTGCGCCAAAAAAATTCGCGCGCGCAGGAGAACAGGGTGTCCAAGCTGGTGAGTGGAGGCGATATTCCCTCTGGCTTCTGGAAGATCAAGACCCTGTCCGGCTACATGAGACCTGGATTCCAACGACCTGGTGGTGGTTTTCAGATTTTTGTGGTGCCTTTAACCCTGCAACCTATCCGGGATGAATGTTGATCCCACTGACTCATGTTTTTCGAGTTGAAACCACCATTCAGATGTGTATGACTTCAAGCCTTCTCAAAGACTTACTGACCCCCAAAATAATTTTTGCAGAACATTGGATTGGGAGTTCCAGTGCTCATTGTCCCCAAGTCCCGCATATGGATTCTTGATGAGGGCAAACTCCTCCAGAGCGTAGAGACCAGCATGGGGTGGATCCACCAACGCGGCTTCAAAGGAAACAGCATGATCGACAGGGAGGATGGATTCCATGAATGAAAAGATGATCTAAAGATGATGGACCATGGACAGGAAACAGCATGATGAGCAGCACGATTCCATTTTTTTGTCTCGGTGATGAGATGTGATGAGATCTTCTAAAAACCTCGTGGACTCTTGAATCCGTGTGAGTGATGAGATGGGATGCAGCTCAGGACTCATGAAACCACACTCCTGACCAAGCTACTCACCCCATCTCACTCCCATGATTCACAAAGGCCAGGTTTCAGGAATCCCAGTGGATGTGACCACCCTGGTAGGGTGGCCAATTCTGAGGCCACCCTGGGAGGCCTTTCATGAGTTCAGTCTCTACCAGGATTTCTATCTCGTGTCTCAGCCGAGCGAAAAGAAAAAACGCCTGGGAGGCCTTGGCCGAGGTAAGAGAGGTCGGTCGATTCCATGAGTTGAACATATTCTTGAGGAGACCCTGGTTGGGTAGGGAAACACCACACATAGTACTGTATGATTGGGGAGTTCGGAAGCAGCAATGAATCCTCGTTGACCCTTGGACCGGTCTTCACGTGTCCTTTTATCCTTTTGGAAAGCAACGTATGTTTGAGCCCTAGCCTCCTGCGTTCTCTTTCAATCCCTCTGGGCAGTAAGCTTCAGTCATACCAATAACACTTACACCGTCAACTTGCTTGCACCACCAATCATGGAGTAGAGGAAAATGCATCCAAAAACAATGTCTTTATCGCGCTGCTCCACTCACCTGGCTTTCGGCTCTGGCTTAGCGAGCAGGTGCTGACCTTTCTTCCGCTTCCAACACATGTCCAGGTCCTCCCCATTTGTAGAGGTCCTCATCTTCCAAACCTGTGGTAACTGGCTCTTTGAAAGCAGATGCTGGCAAGCCTGCCCAGTTGGGAAGTGTATTTGCATCCGCACACTAAGGGAAACGCATGCTAAATCCGCCGGGACACTCGATGCTTCGGGTAGAGTCCTGTCCTGCGCCTGAGGTCCTGTGGGACACTCCTTACGAGAGAGTGGATTATGCCAAGGTGGCGGGACGTGAACGACCCGAGCCCTGGAGACGCTAGTAGCTTCTTGTTACTACTAGTAAGGCACCTTGCTACTAGTAGCGATGCCCTTGTTACTTCTACCGGAACCTTCCTTTTGAATCATTAATCAGCCAACACAGTCAAAGTTTCGGTTATGATCTGGATCTTTCTGGTAAGTGAAACTGGCGGATTGTGGAGGATCTGTTCGTCCTAGCTCTCAAGAGTGTTCAAAAAGGGACACTTAAGACTTATGTTGTCTGCTGTCGTCAAAGCCCATGACCTGGTACTCAGAATCTCCGGTACATGACCTGCTCGGCGTTGATCTGGTCGTTCCACACCCGTTCCGATGGACCACTCCCAGCGTCGACCGGGGGTGATGCGTTTGCGGTTCATCATGCACCGTCGTCGAAGCGGGCCCCAAAAGCTAAGTGGACAGTCGGGGCCCCATGTGTTTGGCATCCCTTCAGAGTGAGACACAAGCGAGGACACAGATTGAAGCTTGTTCACTTCGTAGCTCGGAGATGCTGGTCAGGATGGCAAAAGGCTTCGGGCTTCATGCATGCAAGATGTATTGCATTGCTCAAGAGTCCATGCCACAGGCAGCTCAGATTCCTCATTGGAACCCACTCTTTTTATCTCTTGTTCATTTGATTTCATCATGGTTCATCCCTTTTCCTGTTTGCAAGGCACGGCAGCATGTCCCAACATCCACATCCACATCCCTGCTACCCACCATCCATCCATCCATCCACCCGTTTCGTGTCTCGTTCTCCGCTTCTTCCCAGGAGCCGAACGGCTAGTAGTAACAAGTGCATCGCTAGTAGTAACAAGTGCCTTACTAGTAGTAACAAGAAGCGAACGTAGAAACAATAAGCTAATAGCTTCTTGTTACTACTAGTAAGGCACTTGTTACTACTAGCGATGCACTTGTTCCTAGTAGCTTCTTGCCAGGAGCCGAACGGCTGTGGGTTGCCGAGCGCCACCTGGGAGCCGGACGAGTGCCTACCGCCGCACCTGGATGAGCTGCGCTTGCGGGAGAAGCGCAGCTGGATCCAGCGGAAGAGGGCAGTGCCTCGGCGCGGCGCAGTGGGTGGGTGGGTGGGTGGGTGACTGTGGGGAGAAAAGAAGAGGAGATCAGAAGAGAAGAACCAGCATACAGTAGCTGCATAGCAGATGTCTCAGATGTCTTGCTGGGAGTGGCACCCAAACTTCGAGAATGATGTAGAAGCATGATGAACCATGAACAATAGAAGAACCAAAACCGACGCGTCTCAAGATTGAAGAGATCCCAGGACCAAAAAGCCCCCTGAGTCCTTCTTCCGGTTGCCCCAGGAAGCCGAGGCTCCCGAGCTTCGTAATGGCGAGAAGCGCAAGGCGAGTCACCGGGCCTCGCACAGTGAGCCTCTTTCCAAGCTGCGACGCTGGCAGCGCGACATGTCACCGCTGTGCGCCGAAGCTCGACCGAAGGAAACCAAATAAAGGAAAGGAGAGGTTTCCGATGCTGATGAACGAGAGGAAGAACGAAGTGTTTTGGCGAAGTTGGGGATGGCCTCCGGTTGATTCAGAGTGATGGTATGATTTGGAGATGTTTTCAGTAAGCTGAAAAAGCTGAACGGAGTGATCATCATCCAGTGCACCAACTTAACAAAGGACTTTTGCAAGAAGAGTGAGTGATAAAGTTGGCCATGACATGCCATGACTAAGGACATGTTCCAGTTCAAACTCGGCCATGACTTCAAGCCCGTGCCTCGACCATGAGTAGTGTGCTTGCGAGTGTGAATATTTGATCCGCCCCAGGATCCAGGCGGAGCTTCACCCATGTTTGTAGAACGACAAGACCCAGGGAGCTCAGGTCTGGTTCGTAAGGTCTACTTGTCCGGCAGGGTTTGGGAGTACTCTCAACTTCTTTTGTTGAACCCCGAAGACTGGGTCACCAAATGGGTCCCCCGGAGTTATCTGGCACCAAATCCCGCTGGCACCATCTCACACTGGGCCAGCGATCTATCCGGGGAACGCCATTCTGGGCGACCATTCGATGGGTTCTGGATCCTCTGACTGGTTCTGGGTGGCCGACCGCGACCGTGGCGTGGCGCCAGGAGTTGCTGCCGGAGAACATCCGCGAGGGCTGGCCCAAGAGACCTCAGGACGGAGAGATGCAGCCACTGCAGGGAATATGAATGCAGAAATATGAAAAAGGCATGAAAAGGCCTTGAAGGTCGTTGAAATATTTATCTGGACGTCTACTCGAACATTCCCTCATGAAAGATATCTATAGACAACCTGGACCGTCTTGCCAACCAAAATTATCCACGGCATGGGCCCCGATGATCCGATTTCGCCACACCGAGACACCCCGTCTCGCCTGGTGGAACGGACGCCCGGCCGAGGAGTACCCGAAAGGCTATGGCTGCGCTGATCCGCCGGGCTTTTGTCACGAGCGATGCGACTGCATGGACGATGGTCGACCCCAGCAGCCGTGGGAGACCCACAAGCACTGGCTCGAGGACGAGCCTTTTTCGGGACGTGATCTTCCTATGTGTTTGTTTGACACCGAAAAAACTGTGTTGGGAAAAGCATGACAATCATCACGGTAATTACCCCATGGTACTCCAAAAAGAAGCGAGAACACAAAGTTTGTTTCGGCGCCGTTTCCGTGTGGATCTTGGACATGTTTGTAGCTCTTACAACTTGCAACCAAGATTCACTGACTGTGTTCAGAAACTTATCTAATCTATTAGTCTTCATATTATTTCAGGTTGATAATCTCATTCAGCTAGGGAAGGGGCAGAGCAGCTCGTTGGTATGTGCGAACGTGTTCGCACGACATCCACGGTCGCCAGTGCTGCCTTCGCTTCCAAGCTCCGGCCATAGACGCCCGCCTTCGGCCAAAACGGCCAGCGTGAGGACTCCAGAACCAGCCGCGGAGCAGCAATGGCCATCGAACATCTCTCAGCACAATCGACGTTCGTGAGGCGAGTCCGGAATCTGAAGCAAGCGGGGTATGTCTGAAATTCTTTCAGTGGGATCAGGCCAGCCACTCCAACTCCCACTTGGTCAACACCCTGTTATGTGTTCAGAGGCGAGGCTACATTGGTCACGTGTGGGTCTATATATATTTATACACACATGTATATATACATGTGTATCATATCTTAGTGGTGCAAGCTGCAACCTCACCACGAAGAAGTCCACGAGATTCAGATTGTGATTTGCGTTAGTCATACCCCGTCCAGGCGCAACCGTGAAAGCGATTGAAGATTATTGAACAATATTGCCATTGCCATCTTGCAGTTTGCAGTTTGCATCCCCGTCTGGAACGGACGGTTGTGTGGAGCGCCGTGCTCTTTAAGATGTTGCTCACCCATCCAAACATGCGACAGTTCCTGGTGTGCTGGTTCATCAGTGAAACAGCAGGACATCACCAGTCTTCAGCACAGCCTTCTTCCAGTTCAGAAGCACCCAAGCACCCCTTTTGGAATCTCCAAAAGGTCGAAAGAAACGGTGAACCAAGGGATGTCGCAAAGGCAAGGGGTCCCGATCCACCCGGTTCTTTCTTTTTTGCGAGCTCGCTTTGGAGACGACACCGAGACGGAAACGATACGGTGGCGTTCCTTTTTTTCGGCAGAGGCGTCGTGGTCAAGTGACCAACATGCATCACCACTTCGAGACCTTGAAGATCTATCCCTATCAGGATCCTCACAAGGCCACCGAAACCGCGGTCAGCACCGGTTCCGCGCTGAACCAGCGCTGGATCGCGCCGCGTCGCGATCAAGCTGGCGCGAATCGGGCGAAGTGAAGACGGTGTTCCAATGGCTCTGGGAAGACAGTAACCCAGGAGTTGTCTGAATGAAATGCATGTTTGGACCTTTTGTTGAAATTTGTTGGAAGGCATTTGGTATATTATATTCATATACAGTGTCTTTCTGTATTGTTCACGACATTTGAGAAAATCCATGAGTATGCCCGGCCATGGGACAAGATGCATGGCCAATCCGACGTAAACGATATCTCTGGGCTCAGACTTGTTGGATGTATTTTAGAATATTTTAGGTATACCGCATACCAATCTGTGAAGATCGTGGTCTCTTTTGTGGTAGTTTTGCGCTCATGGCTTGAGGTTGGATCACAATATGCATCAAGAACACATCAAAAACTAGTCATTGCCCTTACTGGAAGGCAGGATCACCCAATATAAAATACTGTAAACACAGTCGTCTCAAAAAGGGACAACTTCCAGTTTTCAGCCCCCTGTGCAGTCGGCCCAGACTCATCAAGCGGGCAGCTCGAGGGGTGGCGCCATGACTGATGGTGCAGGCACCCCTTTGCCTGTTTTTTTTTGTACCGGTCATGAACATCGGTTGCAGGCGGCCTATGATGAGATCCGCCTCTTGGCAGAGCTGGTCCAGGCTCTCATCCTCCAAGCGATGCAGGAAGTGCCTTTGCGCAGCCTCTTCGACCGCACGGACCAGGCGATGTATGGGGAGATGTATGGGGGTCTTCCTGTTTTTCAGGGCACAAAAGGAGTGCATGTTGTTTGGAACTATCTACCAATACCTGTTTCATTCCGAAAAGGAAAAAAAAAGTGCTAGTCCATCGCTGGAAGGAAGGATCTTTCGAGGACTTCAAGCCACCTGCAAGTTACATGCAGCTAGCGCGTTGTGGCAGGAGTCCTGTTAAAGGAAAGGAAGTGCCCTGAAATGCAAAATCACACTGTCCAACTGAATGTTCGCGCCACAAAGTGACCAATGTCGCTGCCAGATTCTGCCTCCGAGGACATGGCAGTTCTTGAGAATCCCCTGCCCCAAAATTGAGAAAAACAGCAATGGACAATGCTCCTCTCCAATTGGTTGCACCATGTTGTATCAAAGAAAACATAGAAAACTGATGAAAATGGGCAGGTGGGTCGTTAGATACCAAGAAAAGGGTATGTGGTCTGTCATCTGGTCCAAACAGCTGGCAACAAAGCTGATGAGAGACGTCAATCGGATCATGTGACCGTGAATGTCATCCGTGCAGTCGATTGACATCTGATAAAGATGCCATTTCTGATGTCTGATGTCAGCAGGTTGTGCTGCTGAACAACCGTCTGACCTTCTCATGTGCCGGGGTGGTGCTTGAGTTCTGAGTTCTCGGCCTCCGTTTCGACCGGACGCAAGTCTTCCAGGGCAGCCCACGATGCGCCGTGCCAAGCGAATGAATAAACCTCTCGAGACGAGCTGGGACTTGGTAATCTTGGTACATCTTTATACCCCAGAAATGGGTCGGCCGAAATGGTGCTTTTCACCCGCGATGTGTTGTGTTGCAGGTGCGGATCCCCATCGCTGCCTTCCGGCTGGAGAACGACTATGTCCCACTCAAGTTCCTGGCAAATCATTCGTGGCTCAGTGTGGGAGTCGAGGACCGCGTGGCACCTCGCGCCAGTTCGGACGGTCAGCGGGTCGAATCGACGACACCACCAAGCAGTCGAGCTTCAACTAGCGAATGTGTGCAGATCCACGGTGTTTTGTTGAAGAGGCTCTCCATCTCTATCTCAGGGGGGGCAAGACTGGGCTCGACAGAGAACTGTTGCTGTCAATCCGATCGAGATTTGCATGATTGGACCAAAGACAGGAATGGATGAAATGATGCGGGAAAAGGTTGGCCCCCCTTTCGTAAGGAACCTTTGAAGGATGCCTTGTTAAAGCCAACCACCTTCCTTTTTTACCCGCATCATTTCATCCGTGCCACTTCCATACACTTACTCTGAACTCTCCTTCAAACGCTTACATCCCAAGGAGTCGAAAAATGCTAAAGAGTTGGCCCATTCGCATTCTGATCATAGAGGGGGGTGGGTTGTCAATCCGTTACCACTCAAGAAGCTGCAATCCAGTCGTTCCTTTGTTCGATGCTTTTTGCAGGGGCATCATGTCCTGACATCACCTAGTCAAGGAAAGATCTCCCAAGACCTCCTGCGCACGGCACGGCGAGGATGGGCTTTTAATGGCTCTGGCAGATCCACCACATGTACCCTTCCAAGTCAAGGTGGGGCAGGAAGATGGGGGGTTGGAAGATGGACCGATCCGCAGCACCGGCTGGCACGGCTGTGGATGTGCCTGGAGACATGTCCGTGTGGTCACTCAAGGGACACGCTAAAACATGCTAAAACATATTTGAGGGACCTGACCTGCTTCAAGAAGCATTTACATCTGACATCATCTGACCTTGACCCATTTCATACGTTCGTCGCCGTCGCTTCGACTTATTTCCTCAGTGGTTTGATCAGATGAGGTTACTGCCAAGACGGCGTGCTGCCACGATCGCTTTGTAGATGAGGTGCAGCGGCCGGTCGCGGGGGGGCGGTGGGACCAGGTGGAGCGGTTTCCGAACGTGGCTCGAAGCGGAGAACGGTGCGGATTCGATGAAGCGTGCTGTCTAACGCTTCAAGTTGGGAGACCGGAACTTGAAGCGAAATCGAACGCCAACGATTTGGTTTGCAACAAGGTCGTTTTTGACCTTGATCCATGAACAAAGAGCCAAGGTCTTGCGCGGGACCCCTCAGGCCTTGGGGTTGAGTTTAGAGACAGTCCCAGGTGCAATCCTCACCCTGATGTGCCTTGCCCAGAGACCGCGAACCTTTGAAATTGCTAAGCCTTTGGACACTTGGACCTGTCCTGTGGGTGTTGGAAGGCTCAGCAAGGCTCAGCACCTGTGGGGACTGGGTCACTTGGACCTCGCTCAGGAGCTGTTCCTTCTCTCAGGGCCTTTTCCCATAGAACGTGCTTTCGCATGAACAAGCCCACTACGGTTGTTGTGTGCACCCGGCTCCAGCGCCGAAGCTGGTGCTGGCCTGCGCTTCACCTGGCGTGTGCCACCAATCACCGCCAGTAAGGGAAAAAGCGCAGAGGGACCTGTCAGAAGGCATTCGGCCAAGCTGGGACTCAGGAGCTCAACTCGCGGACGCGTTGACCAATATATTGGCCTCACAGAGGCTGAGATCCTCAGCAGAGCTTGATTCGTCTACCAACGGTTGCAACACAAACAAACAGACAAGTAACATCTTTTTGTGCGTGTTAATGTATGAGCAGTAACTCATGTTCATCCGCCACAGCCAGTGAACCAAACCTCCTTATCAAGACCTGGGCGACCTGAAACCGGGTAAAATGTAAACGCGTGCGTACATGCTAAGGGCCGGATGGATGTGTGGGCAAAAGAATTAAAGGGAGTGAGATGACGGGACATGAAGGCGGGCAAGACATGAAACGAAAAAGAAAAGAAAGTGTGTGTGTGTGTGTGTGTCAACACCTGTGTCAACACACTTTATCTAAGTGTGTGTGTGTGAAGGGGAAAAAGATGAAAGGGTGCTATGACTCATTGCCTTGGTCGTTTTAGAGTTTTGTATTGGCGTGAAGGGATGAAAACTAATGTGGTTGGTCGACATTCTTCTCCAGTGGTGCTGAAGATTGTGCCAAGAATTGTGGCAGAACCCTGTGTCATTTTCTGGTCCTCCTCTTATTCTCCCCTTTTCCTCCTCTTGTCCTTCTCTGGTCCTCCCCTTGTCGTGATCCTTCCAGGTTCAAGAGGGGCCCGTGTTTGGGCGCCAGTTTAGATACAAAGAGAAATCTGTCGGATTCCTGGGTGGAAGCCTTGCGTTCTGTGGCACAGCGACCAGCAACCGTTCACCAAGCCCACGAAGAAGGGAGCCCCGCTGGAATTGCAGGCCTTGTTCAAAAGCCCCAAAACTTCGTGGATGCCGTGGAGATCTCGGAAGCTGTGGAAACCAAGGTGCAGCGGCTTCCAGACCTGGTAGGCCAGTACCCGGTGAGGTTTTCTGACGGTGCACGTCTGGAAACTGGGTTGGTGAGGCAGGCATGGTCTACATTAGAGGCTGCACGAGATTTCTGCTTCGATGCAATGTGCATCAGCCTGCGGCGCCGCAGTGTGTGATTGGTGACACACAATGGGGCCTGGGCAGCACCCATTGATACCTTCGTTCGGTGGCGCACAGTTTATTCATTTACTTCAAACGAGCTGAAACCGCTGACCAAGGGCAAGACCATTAAGTTGCCTGCATTCGTTTTGCAAAACGGCGTGAGGCTGGTTGTTCAGAGCTTGACCATTCCACACTCGTCTTGGGGAGGGTGCGTCCTTTGAACGGACTCCAAGGGCAAGCAGGAATTTGTGGAATTGTTGGCATTAGCACAACAGATGATTGTTTTTTAATATATATAGTGTTTTTGCAAAATCAATATAGACTCTGCATGCTCGATCCATTCATGTCATCACATGTCCTTTGTTCTAGCGTGGTGTTTCATGGTTGTTCACCTCATCCCTCAAATAGGCTGAAACCCCATCTCTAGCTGACCGAAGGCCACTTTAAGTTTCCTGCGAACGTTTTAGAAAACGGCATGAGGCTGGTTGTTTATAGTTTGACCATTCCACACTCGCCTGACTCGAGGTTGGTGGTGCAGTTTCACCCCCAAGTTTTTCCCTTGAGCACCCCTAGCTTCCCTTGTTAGCCTGACAACATACAAAACTATAAACGTTGGGACAAGCCGATTCACAAAATTCACAAGTGACCATGTTGCCAGATGTGCCATGCTGTTTTGGCAAGACCACAGAGGGTGGGCGCTGGCAGCAAAAGGTTGCAAGCAAATGCAAGGACATGTTCTCAAAGCAAAAAGAAAAATTAATGTTTGAAACGCAAATTGCGTGTGTGTGTGTGTGTGTGTGTGTCACACTCTGTATCTAAGAGTTTCTTCAGCAGGGGGACCAGGCATCTCGCTGCTAACCTGGTCTAACAAAGCTAGGCAGCGAGATGGGAAGCACTGAGAGACGTCTCGGTGTGTACCTGCGAACGAAACTTTTGATCAAGCTGTCCACTTGGATCGGTTTGTTTCATGGTGCTTAAATGTTTCCTCCCCTAAACCCACTTTTCCACCGCAGATGTGCAGCCGCGCTGATCGTTCGACACCGCTGTTCTTGCGAACTGCAGATGTGCACAAACCTTTTGTTCAAACATCTTCAATTCTTTGGACCTTTCGTTTTGCCGTTCTTTCGCCTTCCTTCCACGTGGGAATTGAATAACTGAAAACCAATGTCAGAGTGTGCGTGTGCGCAGGCGGAGCTCCGCTGCAGCGACGATTTCTGTGCAATGAATATGGTGGTCGTCCAAGAGGTTAGCCGAGATTGGAATGAGAAGACAATGAAGGTGGGGGACATTCATGTCATGAGTCAACTGTGCAAAATCAAAGAGACGCATTAATGGTGGTTCTTTCAGTGTGATACGATACAGCCACGGACGTGTTGACGTTTTGAATGGTGAAGAGTGCTCTGGATCTCTTCAAATTACCACATATCTGACCTGCCAAAGCAGCTGTTCTTGAAGCAGGCCACAGCAAACGGCGGCCATGCATAGTAGCAGAGACAAAACATGAACACAAGACAAATGAAAGCCTGTTCCCACTCATGTAGTGATCTACATGTACAAGGGGATGCATGTGTCTTATCTATCTGGGGACTGTGCGCACCGAGAGACCATGAGAGACCTGAGTTCCTGGTGCCAGCATGAGGTGGCCCGGAGCTTGGCGAAGACCGTCCCAGATACGCTTTGGCAGAACTTGCGAGGGCTCCTCAGTGAGCAGATGAGCCTTGGTGATGGGAGTTGAAGAGGTGAGCCTTGGCGCCTTTTTGGGATGGAATAAGTACTGATAAAAGTGAGAACAGATCAGAAATACTGGCTTTGTACTGTCGATTGCCCCTTAGGAACCTGGGGGGGGTCAGATGTATCACTTGCTTTGGCAGCAAGTGCGAGAGTCAAGTCGCCGAGGTGTCTCACACGTCCGCTGAGGCCCGGCCGCTGAGGCCCGGCAAGTCGTATAGAATCCAATAGAAAGGTAGATACCGCACATCCAATGGTGAGAGCACGGGAGTTCCGTCTGTAATATAGTATAACATAGTATAACATGTTTCTATAAATTATGTCTATATAAATGTATGAATGTCGTGCAAAGCTAAAGGTGTGACCCAAGTCCAGTGCAGAATGCTCAGATTGCTTAAGGGGTCCACAGAAGACAGTTAGATTCGATTATAAGTTCATGAAACAAAGTACATAGAGATTGAGATCTTGGATATATTCAATCAGTCTATCAACCAAGTAGCCTTTGATGTTCGCGACATGTTTGCACCAAAACTGCTTGGAAGTTCCAGACCCAGTTCCACGTGCGCAACGCACTGAGGAAGACCATTTACGATTTTGTGGATCTCCGTCCAGTACCTGGTCTGACCTTTGGGTGCTGGCTCGCTTGTATGGAGAGACTCCTGCGCATGCTGAGGAGTGTGCAGCATGCCAACTTGGTGAGAAAAAAGGAAGAACCCATCGATGCGCGGAGAAGGAAACCCCAACTTGATCCTCATCACCCACCCTCCAGAGGATCCACAAATTCCAAGCTCGACATGACTGAGATACCGTTAGGATCCCCTCACCTGACCCAAGATCTCACGGGGATACGAATGGAACGTGCACCTGGATGTTGGTCATCTCAACCCACAAAGGCCACAAAGGCCCCTTCGGAGGCGGTGCCTTGTGATCGAACCCAGGCACCCGGCAATCACCAGCGCAGACTTTTTCAAGGGTCCGTGCAGGTGTGTGTAAGGGTGTGTGGCCATGCTGTGCTGCTGCAGCATCAACGAGGACGGCAACAGCAAGGGTTTTCAAGAGCAGACAGAGCCAGGAGAGATTATATAGTTATCTAAGAAACCTTTCCCTACATGTGTTCCGAAAGGATGTGTTAACAAACCCACTTGCATCCTGCTAACGAAGTTGCTCACGTTCATGGCGCCGTGGGCAAATCTGAAAGGATTCCATATCAAAGAAAGACTTGTCTCCCAAAACGTCTTCGCCGCAGATCTCATCTTAACTCATTTGTCCCAGTCGGTCAGGAGCCTCACAAGCTCGAGGTCTCAGTGCTGGCCTCAGGGCGGTCGTGGTAGGAGTGCCCGGGTGGTAGGAGCGAGCGTCCGTGTAGCAAAAGCCACAAGGTATTGTAGAGATTTGTAGAGTGTTTCTTGACAAAATTAATTTTTTGGGGGCGCCCCTTTTTTGGTAAGACCAGTGGGGCCCCTAGATACATATTGCACAAGTATTGCTGATTTATATAGCTCGTCTTGAGAGAAGACCCCTTCAACGACCACTCCGATTATGGCAATCACTAAATCATCTCTGGGGGTTGAGCACTTACCAGGCAATCTCTGAAGATCAGCAGGACTTATTGCGCAAATCGTCAATTTCACTTGGCGGACAGCAGTGTTGGATGTGTTAGATGACTTTGTAAAAAGTTCTATTCCCGTCATCAACCTGCAGAGATTTGGATTATTCTTTTTAGATGAACAAACGGATGTTAAGGCTCCTGTTCTCAGGTGCTGGAGAAGCACCTGCTCCTTCCAGTGCGTTGTGCCTGTGCCTGTGCTGCTCGCTGTTCACCGTTCGCCATCAGGCAGCTGGCCAAGATGGTGGAGATGATTTTGAGGAGCAGAGCCTTGGCTAATTACGGGTAGTCCGAGGGATTCTCCCTGTTAATCCAGGATCCAGTTCCAAACATTTTGTGGGAAACTCCATCCGACCAAACACACCAAAGTATGTCCAGAATGTCATTGGGAAAGGCATGGATTCGATTGGTTTAAGAGAAGATCTACAGGAAACCATTGCTTCACCACAAAGACTGAGATTTCCCTTGAACCAACTCTGGGAATGGCATCGCGGAGAGGCTTTGTGCATTTGCCAAGGAAACTCAGTGGTGTGCCTATCTCGCCAGTGGCTTGCCTGCAAGTGTACGTTGTTGGTCAATCGGCTATCCAATAGACTCTTGTTTCTATGACTAAACACCCCCATATTTGTTGAAGAGATTGTTACAATCCAAATGAGGGGGGTGTGGAAGCGTACGTTGCCCGCAAGTGTGTGCATCCAAATGAGGGGGTTATTGAACAAGAGAATACATTGCAATACCCCTTTGCCAACAGTACCTCTCCAACCAACTAGACTCTTGTGGCGGCTGGTCGAGCTTGTGATCCACGGAAAGCCGAATGGCCAAACGGACGAAGCAGGGGGGCTCGAATCAGGGCTTCGAATGATGGGCTTCAGGAGTCCAGGTCGCAACAAAGACATTGAACATCGGGGGCGGATGGCGGGCTTCACCCGCTGCGCGCCACAGCCGTCTGTGCACTGAACCGGCCGTGGCTGCACAGGCCAAACAGCTGGACGGGCAACCAGAGCAGAGCTTCGGATGCAATAGCCGAGCGTAGCTGGCGGACTGTAGATAAAAGATGATAAAAGTGCTACATCAAAAGCGCATTGTTCTACGACAAGTGATAAGTGATAAGCAAATAGAACTCCTATTGAAGTGACAATAACCGTTCTATTGGTTCTGAATGGACAATTTCTGGTTTTGCAAATGGCTCAATCCATGACTTCGTTGGAAGTGCGCCACTGCCTCCCAAACCTGATAGAAGCAAAGCTCAACGAAGCTCGTGGTGGACAAGCTCATCATGTCTTTTTGCTGCAGTTCCAAATGGGTTATGGATCGAAAGCTGTCCAACAAACACTGTAGAGTCGATTGCGAAAACGTCGGTGCGAGACAGAGTATCGGGGACCCACAGGTGCTTGGTGTTACACCAAAACGGAGCTGACGGGCACTCGCTTTGGAGCGGTGTCCACACGTACTGTACCAAGCACGCACACTGGCGGCCATCTTCAGGAAGCTTCCTGCCAGTGTGAGGGCCCGTGGCCTCAGTCAGGATTTCCTGGAGGAATGAGAAGACTTCAAAAAGGAGCCTCCCCAACAAACAAGATAGCAAGCTGCGGTGTAGCAACAGGTGTCAAAGCCCCTGGGCATGCCAAGAGTTCAATGATGGATTGAGGGCAACACCCAGACAGCACCAGAAGTAGTGGA